GCTTCCTCCCTTCCTGTACACCAGAAAACAAAATAATTGGTTTCAGATTCACTTTTGGGTTGGGGCATCTAGGCAACTGATTCAATGTTTTTCACAAAAACTTCTCTCTCTCTCTCTCTCTCTCTCTCCCCCTCCCTCACTTCCACACTCTCTAAACATCAATGGAAAAAGTATCCTCGAATGAAGATTAACAAAATAAATAAACATTCTCTGGTGAGGATTAAATAAGTAAAAAATATATATTTTTTATAAGAAACCCTTTTCCCGCCTCCCCTAGTCCCGACTGAAGCCCCGCCCACCCACTGTCCTTGGTGACCAGCCCAAGTCTGCCCCTCCCTGTCCCCAAGTGATCTGCCCTCTCAGATCAGGCACTTCTGAACTTGTGGCAAGCAAGGCAGAAGCAGGCTGAAATCCGAAGCAGGAAAGGCAAAGAAAGGTAAGGGTTGGGGTCCGATTATGAACCCGAGAAGTGGGAGCTAGACACAGACACACGCACATGGGCAACACAGACACGGGATGGAGGGTGGACAGGAGAAACGGGAAAGGTGGGGACAAGTGCCGCTGGCCACACAGAGGGACACAGGGTGTTGGCAGGTTCCAGGTGTGTCTTGAACCTCACAGGCCTGGAGCAATGGCGACCCCAGCGATCTCAGGATCCCCAGCACCCACCCCAGGGACCGACATCTCCAGCAGAGGGCCCCAAAGCCCTTCTGACCCATCGCCAGAGCCCAAGCAGCTCCCGGAGTTGATCCGCGTGAAGAGAGACGGAGGCCGCCTGAGTGAAGGGGACATTAAGAGTTTTGTTCGCGCTGTGGTGGACGGGAGCGCACAGGGTGCACAAATAGGTGTGAAGGGAAGGTTGGGTGCTCCCAATTCCAACCCACAGACTTCCTGCCCTGAGCACACCATAGCACCCGACCACTGTCACTGGCCCCAGGATAACCCATCACTGTAGGAATGCCCCCTCATGCTGCCTACACCACTTTACCCCATGCTTAGGGGCCATGCTCATGGCCATCCGACTGCGTGGCATGGATCTGGAGGAGACTGTGGCACTGACCCAAGCCCTAGCCAACTCTGGACAGCAGCTGGAGTGGCCAGAGGCCTGGCATCAGCAGCTGGTGGACAAACATTCCACAGGGGGAGTGGGTGACAAGGTCAGCCTGGCCCTGGCACCTGCCCTGGCTGCCTGTGGCTGCAAGGTGAGAAGATGCCCTCCCTCCAGGCCAGAAACTCTGACCTCACAGGCTGGCAGCTCCCAACCTCAAACTTGGTCCACACACAGCCCCCAAAGTCAGGACCCAAGCTTCTTGTCCCCCTAGAACAGGACTTGGGTCCCTTCCCTATCAGCCCCATAACAGGACCAAGTTACCAAGCGCCCCCTTCCCCTTCAGCATCCCAGGAAGGACTCTCAAGGGAAACGCTGGGCACTCCTCCTAGATGTGTGTCAAGGATAGATACCAGCCTCCTCCCCCAGAGCCCCTCCATTCCAAACCAGGACAATTTCTTATCCATTCCCTCTCCACCAGCGGGACACCCACTACAGCTTCTTAGTAAATACTTAACTCCAGCTGAAGTTCTAACCAGAGAAGGTGAGGGAAGAAGTGGAGTGGATGACTGCAGGTGCACTCACCATCCCTGCCTTGCAGGTACCCATGATCAGTGGACGTGGTTTGGGCCACACAGGGGGCACCCTGGATAAACTAGAGTCTATTCCTGGATACACCGTCATTCAGAGCCCAGAACAGGTACGTGTGAGCCACTGATTGGTCACTGATCGGGTTATTGATGGACACATTAACCAGAATCACTGAAGAATCACTGATGGGTTGTTAATTAGGGTCACTAATGAAAATATTAATCAAAGTTATTGATGTATCATTGATGATCATTGGACTTTGGTCAAGGTTACCAATGGAACTTTGGAGTCATGAAGAGGGAGTTGGTTAAAATCATTAATGGTCCACAGGACATTGATTAATATCACTGATGAGTTGGGCCAGTCATTTAGGAGGACTCATCAGAATGTTTATAAGTCACTGGTCATGGTTTTGAACATTCGTCAAAGTTGCCGTGAGATTTTGATCAGGATTAGTAATGGGACCATAAATCAGAGGTCACTCACAGTGCCTGGGAGTCCTATGTGAGCGATTTCCCCAGATGCAAGGTCTGCTGGAGAAAGTGGGCTGCTGCATCGTGGGTCAGAGTAAGAAGCTGGTTCCTGCAGATGGAATCCTGTATGCAGCCAGAGATGTGACAGCTACTGTGGACAGCCTGCCACTCATCACAGGTGACCTGACCCCACACTCCGAGGTTCACCTTCTGCATGCTAAAAACCCCTGATCCCGCCCTGGCCGGTTTGGCTCAGCAGTTAGAGCGTTGGCCTGCGGTCCAGAGAGACCCGGGTTCAGTTCCCACTAAGGGCACGTACCTTGGCTGCAGTTTGGCCCCGGCTCTGGTTGGGTCGGGCGGGTGGCAACCACTCGATGTGTCCCTTTCACATTGATGTTTTTCTCTCTCTCTCCCTTTCTTCCTCTCTCTCCCTCCCACTCTATCTGAACAAAAAATGGAAAAATGTCCTTGGGTGAGGATAAAAAAAAATCCCTGACCCCTAATGGAACAGTAAGGGGTCCTCTCATAAGGAGACTGTGGGACCTCTCCCAACCTCAGGGTTAGCATCACAGGATGCCTGACCACTCACTCAAGAGAGGGACTTGCCCAGGCCCTGTGACTCCCATCATAAGGGACTTGGCCCTCAATGTTTAGGGTCCCCGACTCCTCATGACTGACCCGAGTCAGAACGCCCTGCGCCTCTCAGGAAGCTCCAGGCTCTCCTTTACCTCCAGCCCCTCTGCCTCCCTCACAGCCTCCATCCTCAGTAAGAAGGTGGTGGAGAGCCTGTCTGCTCTGGTGATCGATGTGAAATTCGGAGGGGCCGCCGTCTTCCCTAGGCAGACAGAGGCCCGGGAGCTGGCAAGAACGCTGGTGAGCAGCTGTGCCCATGAAGCCGTGTGGCCTCTCCACAGGGGTGCCCTAGGTGGTTCTGGCCTCTCTGCTGGGGAGGTCTCCTCCTGTGGACCCATCTCCCCTTCAGAACTCAGCAGTCTGCTCCCTGTGTGCCTCTCCGTCCACATCCACTCAGCAGCCCTGTGTCACATGGCCTCAGCCAGGACCTGGCTTCCCCTATGCCAGTTCCTCCTTCGCTGCCCTACTCAGTGACCTTACCCAAACAAGGCCGGCCTGGCTTCAGGTCTCGAGAACCCTCCATGGCTCTCTGCCCCAGGCCAGGTACAAGGTCTCCCAGACCCCGACCTTGCCTGCTTCAGGTCTCCCCGACTATCACTACCCAAAGCCTTCTGTGACCCCCTCACTCCTGGGCAACTGGCAACCCAAGGTGCAGCACCAGCTGGAGTATTATCACAAGGATGAGGCCCCGCGGGCGCAGGGCAGAAGCCACACTGAACGTGTCTCCGCAGGTTGCTGTAGGGGCAGGCCTGGGGCTTCGGGTTGCAGCGGCTCTGACTGCTATGGACAACCCCTTGGGCCGCAACGTGGGCAACTCCCTGGAAGTGGAGGAGGCCCTGCTTTGCTTGGACGGCGCGGGGCCACCGGACCTGCGGGACCTGGTCACTAGGCTTGGTGAGCAGACGGGTAAGAGGTGCGGGGGTTGAAGCTCAAGAACCACCTCCACTACACCTAAGCCCGGGTCCCCCGCCCGCAGGGGGCGTCCTGCTCTGGCTCAACGGACTGGCGGAAGCCCAGGCAGAGGGAGCAGCCCGGGTGGCTGCAGCGCTGGACGACGGCTCGGCCCGGGACCGCTTCGAGCGCATGCTCGCGATGCAGGGTGTGGACGCGGGCCTGGCCCGAGCCCTGTGCTCCGGGACTCCCGCGCAGCGCCGGCAGCTGCTGCCCCGCGCCCAGAAACAAGAGGAACTGCTCGCGCCCACCGACGGTGAGCTTCCGCAGACCCGCGCTCCACCCCCCGCTTAGGGCCCTCCCCTTCCTAAGGCCCTGGCCCTGCCCACCAGCCACCGCCCCACCTGGCACGTCTCCCCGCAGGCACCGTGGAACTCGTCCGGGCGCTGCCGCTGGCGCGCGTACTGCACGAGCTCGGGGCCGGGCGCAGCCGCGCCGGGGAGCCACTCCAACTGGGTGTGGGCGCCGAGCTGCTGGTCAGCGTGGGCCAAAGGCTGTGCCGCGGTGAGCGCGGATTCCCGTCCCTCCACGCCCCCGCGGGCCGCCACGTCCCCAGTGACCGCCCCGCCCGCTGGCCGCCCCGCCCGCTGATCGCCCGTCCCGCCCGCCCCGCCCGCCGGCCGCCCCGCCCGCCAACCTCCCGCCCCGCCCGCTAACCTCCTGTCCCGCGACCCGCAGGGACGCCGTGGCTCCGCGTGCACCTGGATGCGCCTGCGCTCAGCGACCCGCAGCGCAGTGCCCTGCAGGAGGCGCTCGTGCTCTCGGACCGTGAACCTTTCACCGCCCCCTCGCCCTTTGCGGAGCTCATCTTGCCGCCAACCACTGCGCAGCAATAAAGCCCGAGAGCCGTAAAGCCGTGTCCGTGCCTGCCGCGCCGTGGGGAGGGGGGCGGGCAGGAAGGGCCGGCGAGCGGACAACTCCGCGGGAGGCGTGGCCCTCGCGACAAGGGGCGGGGCTCTTCCCGGCCCGTCCGGCACGTGACCCTCTTTGGTGGCCCCCCCACCTCCTTCCGCGCGCACTATCGACAGCGACCCGGCTGCGCGTGCGCGGCGCCGTTCACGCGTGCGCAGTGGCCCCGAGCGCCGCCACACGGCAGAACCCGGCTACCGGCCGTCTGCGAGCTCGGGGCCGTGGTCCCCGACGCCGGGCCGCCCGAAGTGCAGCCCCCGGGGAGCCTGAGAAGACCGCGGGTGCAGGGGACGGAGGGGCGGGCGGGCTCCTGGGTTGTGCTCGGGACGTGGCCTGCGGCGGAGTCCAGCTTCGTGGTCGCCGCTGGGCCGACGGCGGCTCGTTGCGGGGAGCGCCCTGGAGGGGGTGCGCTCCCGGACGGGCCCAGGAAGCACCCGCAGGTGCCTGCGCTTGCCGGGCACATCTCGTGCCCGCTTCGAGCCACTTTGTAAAGGGGGAAGCGGTGCAGAGAGTCTAGGGACGTGGCCAAGGTCACCCAGCCCAGAGATCGTGACAGGGGTGGCGGCCGGGCGCTCGGGCGCCCTCGGGGGGCCCTCAGCCGCAGCCGAACAGGTGAGGGGTCCTCAGACCACCTAGCGAGGCTCCAGAAGCCCCTGCAGAAAGGCGCGGTCACCGAGGAAACGGCGGGGCGTGCGCCGTGAGCCCCGAGTGGTCGGAGACCCGAGTGTGAAGGGGGATTTGTTGCCGGCGGAAGCCGGTGTCGCCGGCGGGTGCGCGCGGGAAGGGAGGCTCGCAATGGGAGCGCCGAGGGACGGCGCGGCAAGTACTGGTGGGTAATCACAGCCGCACTCTGGGGGAGTCTGGTGTGGGTGACACGGTTTCTGCTCTGGGTGCGGAAGGAGGGCTCTGAAGCGAAGGCTGCTGGGCTGCAAAACGGGAGGAGCCCGTCTTGGAGGGTCGAAGCCAGGCTCCCCAGCCTCCGTTCTCAAGTGGGCGCTTCTTGCACATCCCCGTGCGCAGGAATCCAGTCGGCTCAGATGCTAACACACAGGTGAGTGCTGGGCTGCCTGGAGCTGCGGGCCGGGGCGGGGTGAGAGCAGGTGGGATGAGGCGCGGCTAAAGGACAGGAGTGAGAGGTGTGGACTTTTCGATGACACTAAGCTGGAGTTTAAGGTTTCAGAGGTGAAGTGGTTCTGAGCTCAGCGGGGCACTGGGTGACCAGCTGGGGACAGCTGTGAGCCTAAGTGTGGGGTTGGTCCTTCAGTTGGTGGCCAGTCTCTAGTGATGAAAGAGGATCCAGGAGGCCAAGGACCTTCTGGCTCCTGAAACCTCTGCTCTCTTTCCAGGAGCATCAGGCCCATGCTGCTGCTGGCTCAGATGCCTCAGGCTCGGCATGGGCCCTCTCAGCTCAAGCCCCCGGCCCTCCACGTGAAGTCCTGGCTCTCGTCAAAGCAGGGCCCCGAAGAGACGGGCAGGCAGGGCCAGCCCCAGGGCCCTGGGCTGCGAACTAGGCTGCTGGTCACAGCCTTGTTTGGGGCTGGGTTGGGTGGGGTCTGGCTGGCCATGAGGGCTGAGAAGGAGCAGCAGCAGCAGCAAAGGCGGACAGAGGCCCTGCGCCAGGCCTCCGTGGGCCAGGGTGACTTTAGCCTGCTGGACCACTGCGGCCGAGCTCGCTGCAAAGCTGACTTCCGGGGCCAGTGGGTGCTGATGTACTTTGGCTTCACTCACTGTCCGGACATCTGCCCTGATGAGCTGGAGAAGCTGGTGCAGGTGGTACAGCAACTGGAGGCTGAGCCTGGCCTGCCCCCCGTGCAGCCCATCTTCATCACTGTGGACCCGGAGCGGGACGATGTTGCAGCCATGGCCCGCTATGTGCGGGACTTCCACCCACGGCTGCTGGGCCTGACTGGCTCCGCGGAGCAGGTTGCCCAGGTTAGCCACAGCTACCGGGTGTACTACAGCGCTGGCCCTAAGGACGAGGATCAGGATTACATTGTGGACCACTCCATTGCCATCTACCTGCTCAACCCTGACGGCCTCTTCACAGACTATTACGGCCGGGCCAGGTCAGCCGAGCAGATTGCAGACAGCGTGCGGCACCACATGGCCGCCTTCCGCAGTGTCCTGCATGGGTCGGGCCATTAAAGGGCGTGGTGGAGCTGTGTGTGCGTGAACTGTACCGGCTGCCTTGGAAGCCACAGCAGGAAAGGGCCTAGCGCCTGAGTGCAGCTGGGGTGCTGGAGGTGGGCAGCGATCTCTGCACAGAGCAGGAACCTTCTCAAGGAATAGGTTGGATGGAAACCACTTTATTAGGCTGGGCCAGCCAGGAAGTAGGTGGGAGTGAGCAGCTGTGTGCCCAGTAGCCACAGGGGACAGGGCTCCCCACTCAGGGCTGAGCCATGGAGGGGGCAGCATAGGTCTGGAAGCGCTTGTGCGCCTGCTGGTGCGTGAGCAGTCTTAGGGACATGGTGTCCACGGCCGCCTCCAGCCCCGGCTGCTGGGTGATCTCCACAGTGTGGTCATTGGCCTGTAAGGACAGAGTGTCAGCAGAGCCCAGGGACTGCTTCCCTCCCAGGCTCCCAGAGCCACTCACCAGTTGCAGGGAGGCCAGCATGGCACGGCACACCTCAAAGGCAGGCTGGCCAGCCACCAGCGTCGCGAAGGGACACCACTGGTTGAGCTGGCTGAACCTTGAGACCATCTGGTCCCCATAAATGTGGATGTCAAAGGGCATGTGCTGCTCCTGCGAGGGGGAAGGGCAAGGTCCTGAGGCGAACCCTGCAGGCAGCAGGGAGGCTCCAGTCCCCAAGCAGAAGCCTGCCCAGCCCCTCACCTGCTCCTGGAGCAGAGGCTGGATGCTGTCCTCCCAGTCCCTGACCCGCTGGCTCAGCTCTGTCTCCTGGACAAACTTCTGAGAGGTGGTGATGAAGAGCTCCTAGGGGAGAACCAGGGGCTACCGCCTTCCATCAGGTGCCCATATACCCAGCTCCCCACCCACTCCAACCAGGGCCTACCACATTCCTTCGGACCAGCTCCTCATAGCTCAAGGACGCTGGTATGGCCTCTGCTTCTGGAAAAGGGGAGCAGCTGTGAGGTGTGGGCCACACCCTCTCCTCCCTCCCCTGTCCCCAAGGGGACCCTCAGGACAACCCTGGCCAGCAGTTCACTCCTACACCTACCCAGGTCTGCAGCTTCCCCAAGCTTGGCCCCATCAGGCTCTGCATACTCTTCAGGCTCGAGGAAGTCATCTGCTGGGAGACGGGGTGGCCCCACCAGGAGGCAAGTCGGTGGGCAGCCTGTCCCGGCTGTCCCCTGTCCCCTCCCTGCCCTGGCAGGCACCCACCTGCCGCCCCCAGTTCCTGCAGGGAGTCCTCCAGGCGGTCCTCCTCCACGGGCCACAGCCCCTCCTCGGCCCTCGGCAGCCAGCGCTTAGCTACCTGTGCAGACAGGCTGTGAGGCCATGCTGTCTCCCACCACCAGGGCTGCATGGGGTCCACAGTGGCCGGTACTTGCCTCCCTCCTCTGCAGTTTCCCCAGGGTCTCCAGTTGCTCCTTCACATGTGTCCAGTACAGGACCTCCATGTCTACGTACAAAAGCCTCGTGAGGGCGCTTGTGTGCTGCCTAGCCCACCCAGGGCTTTGGGCATCCCCAAGCAGAGGGGAGGCAGGCAGAGCACGGCGCCATTATCCCTCAGAAGGGCCCACGGCCCCAGCCTCACCTGCAAATGATGGGCCCTTTCTCCGGGGCCTCCTGCCGTCAGCATGGTCAGCATCTGCAAGAGAGCTGGGTGGTCAGGAGCCAGGCCAAGTCTCCTCCTGGCCTGGCCTGGCCCAGCCCCACACCCCACTCACAGGTGGCCAGGCACCACTGGTGGAAGTCCTGCAGCTTGGTGGCGCCCTTCCTCTTGCGCTTCTGTCCTGGAGCCTCCTCCACGCAGGCAGGAACGGAGTAGGGCCTACCTGGGGAATGGACTGTCTCGGAGCACATCTGCAGGCCCTGGGCAGACCGCAGCGCCCACACCCCGAGGAGCCATCACACGAGGGAGCACAGCCCTGCCCAGCTCCCTCTGGGTACAGGCCACAACCCACCACCTGTACCCCTGCAGACCCAGCCAGGCACCAGGTGTGGTGGTCCTTCCACCCAGTTACCTTTCTTGAAGGGCTTAGAGTCCAGGGAGTTGAAGGGGTCCAAGCTCTGCCAGGGGTCTGGGGTCTCCTAAGCAGAGTACAAGCAAACTCAGGCCGAGGGGGGACATACACTCCCCCTGAAGCCAGCACTGCAGTGACAGCCAGGAAAGGGCTGGTCACACTCGATCCAGGACCCAAGGGTGGAAAGACCTCAGGCAGGCAGGAGCAAAGAAGTGGGGGGTGGAGCCTCAGCCAGACCCTCCCTGCCAGTGGAGTCAGGGGTCTGAGCCCACTACCTCACCTTCAGCTGGGTCACAGGCTCCAGGGCCTCTGGCCTCTCCCGCAGGTCAAACCTCCTGGGCTGGGCAGTGCTCTGCAAAGAAACGGCCTCAGGGATGCCCTTCCTCTGCTCTGGGAGCAAATACTCTGTAGGGACCCTCTTTGGGGGCAGGAATTTCAAATAGTTCAAGGACTAAACAGTAAAACCACCAGGAAAAACTTGAGAGAACACACAAACCAGTAAACTAGTGGTCATGGGGAAAAAGGAAAAAAAAGAACAGAATAATATGATCAATATCCATGTAGCTACCTGCCAAAATTAATAAATACTAACCCTTTCCTGTGTGTGGCTTGCCTTGTGATAGAAAAAGAGATTCCTTAGCTCTAGGGCTGGAGCACAGAGCCCACCCTGGGGTGGAGGGAGGCAGCGAAGGTCTCCAAGGTGCACCCTCCTGCCAGCCTGGCCTCAGAAGAGAGCCCCAGAGACCAGCTGCCACCCTGGGTGCCACACGGGCACCTGACAGCAGCCCACCCCTCGGAGGAGCAGCAGCTGCTGTGCTGGGAGAGGACGTGGACATGGCTGCCCAGGAGGACTAGGTGTGGGGCACCCACTGCCCTGTGCAGGACCAGGGTGGGACAGCGCCGAGCACGGTCCCGTGTCCGAGTGACTGCCGCAAACCCAGGGCTTGCCTGGTGGTCGGCTCAAGCTTTGCAGGCCTCAGTGTGGGTACAACCTGCTGCGGGCTCCTGGGCTCCTGGGCTCCTGGGGCTCCAGTGGGACCTCGGGGGCCTCGGCCTCAGGGAGCTCTGCTGCTCCCTCTGCATCATCCTCATCCTCACCCCCGTGTCCGGGTCTCGGGCCTTCTGGAGAGGTGCCTGGGCCGAGGAGCAAGAGACCTGTCAGCCCTGAGGAGACCAGAGATCACACGGCAGGGGGCTGCCCGTGGACCTGAGCCATCCCATCTGGCCTGTCATTAGACCAGAGAGCGCAGCTCTACACCCTCCTCACGCTGCTGTTCAGTTCACTTCGCGTCTTAGCTACTTTCCTTTTTTATTTTTATTTTATTTTATTTTTTATCCTCACTTGAGGACATTTTCTCATTTATCTTCAGTCACAGTGGGGAGGGGTGGGGGAGAGAAACATCCAGCAAGAGAGACACATGCACTGGTTGCCTCCCACACAACCCGACGAGGCCCAGGCCAGAATGACAACTGAGGGGCACGTCCTTGACCGGAACAGAGCCCACAACTCTGGTCTGCGGGTCAACGCTCTAACAGCCGAGCCAAACTGGCCAGGGCTACTTTCCTCTTTAAATGCTGCCCTCTGTGTCTGCAGAGGGGAGGCCTGGGCGCGAATGAGCAAAGGGCAGTGGGCGGGTGGGCCGAGGCAGGCCTGGCGCACGGGGCAGCTCCAAGGTCGCACTGCTCCCCTGCCTCCCAGCACAGGCACAGAGGGACGGCAGGCTGGGTCAGCTGAGCGCAGAGCCCTGTCCCGTCCCCACCCCACCTGCAGGTCCACCAGGATGCCCTCTCTTCTCACCTGGCTCCTGGGAGATGCTGGGCACAGGGACCGGACTCCTGATCACAGAGACTTCCATTGGCTGCTCCTCAGCCCTCTCAGCCTCTAGGAGAGATGGGGTGAGATGGGTCAGCCCCACCCCTTCCCCAGACCCCCCTCCCAAGGGCCCAGAGGAGCCAGGTCTGGGAGGGAGAGCAGAGCCCTGGAACAGGACTCAGGCACCCTGGACTGAGCTAGCTGTGGGCAACGACAGGAGACAGGCAGTGGGACCAGCTGCGGTAGGCAGCTCTGTGGAGCAGGAGACGAGGGAGGGAGGAGCTCCAGAGACCAGAGCTGGTGGCCGCAGGGTACCCAACGAGGAGCCCAGCCCTGTGACCCTTCCTTACCACCAGGCCCCACTCCCGAGCCCTCACCCCTCCTTGGCAGCAGTGTCTCCATGGGGGACAAGCCCACCGGCTCCAACATGAAGGCTCCTCTGGGGTGAGGGGTGCACGTATTCATCCTAAAATCCTTCCAACTGGCCAGGACCTCCCCCTGACAGCTGTGCGGGCAAAAACACAGCTGCTGCAGAGACCCTCCCTGACAGCCCCCCATCCCCGCACCAGGCCCGGGCCCGAACCTGTACAGGGGGTTGTTGTTCTTCTCCATCTCATCCAGGGCTACCAGGGCCATTGGCAGAAGGGGTACGATGACAACCTCCTGCACAGGGGCCGAGAGTGGGTGAGCTGTGGGCTGTGGGTGGGGAACCCTCTGGGATGACCACACTGTCCAACACCCCTATCAGCGGCACTCAGCCCCACCGTGGAGGAGGGGCACTCACACTGGGGCACTGCTCACTCCTCAGGTCCACATTAGCACGGGTGTCGGGCAGGTCATCCAGCGACAGGAACTGTGAGGAGACAGTGGCTCAGCAGCAGGGCCCAGAGAGCACACAGCAGGCAGCAGCCATGTGCCCAGGAGACCTCACCTCATCCTCCACCTGCCGGGAGGCCCTGGAGCTGGCGTCCCTGATGGCCCCATCTTCCTGTGCCGAGAGCTGCCTGGCCTGCCTGAGAGAATCAATGCACGGGCGTCCGGAGGCTGCAGGGGCTTCCTGAGCTGACCGCTGGGCACACGCAGGCCTCCACCTCCCAGCTCGCACCTCCCGGACTCACCTCTTGCCAGAGATGAAGTCGAGGGCCTGGTAGACCAGCGAGTACAGGTATTCAACCTGGAGGCCGGAAGCAGGAGATGAGGACGCAGAAAAGAGCCCACCTGCATGTCCAGGGCCCTCCCCAGAGCCTTCCAACCCAGACATCCATGCACAGAGAACCCCACGGTCTCCTCCAAAACCCACAGCACAAGTCCTGCCAACGTGGCCACCGAAAGCACGTCTCCGTTGAAGAGAATCACTCTAACAGCTGAGCCCTCTGCCTACACTGACGTGGCAGCGGCGTGGCCCTCAAGGCTGTGCTGCCCGTGGCCCGTGGCCCCGGCACAGTTGCCTGCACGCTGGCTCCTTCCCCTCTGCTGGCCTCATCCACTGCCACTGTGCCACCTCCAGGAGCCCGAGTCTCTAGCACCTGGCACCACTCCAGCCACAGCCCTGGCCGGTTTGGCGCAGGGGTCAGAGCGTCGACCTGCGGTCCAGAGACCCGGGTTCAGTTCCCGCTAAGGGTGCGTATCTCGGTTGCGGTTTGTCCCCAGCCCTGGTTGGTCGTGTGGGAGGCAGCCACTTGATGTGTCCCTTTCACGTCGATGTTTCTCTGTCTCTCTTCCTCTCTCCCTCCCACTCTATCTGAACAAAAAATGGGAAAATGTCCTTGGGTGAGGATAAAAAAAAGAAATCCTGATGCCTATTCCACCCCCACCCCCCAGTTCCAATGTAATCAGTCTGCGTTAAGTCCAGCCACTGGTAAATGTTTGGACTGTAGCCTGAGTTGAAACCACAGCTTTTATTACTGCCATCTTTTTCCTCTTCTTTTCTGTAAAAGTCTTTTTTTGGGGGGGGGGGGTACATCCCCTAGTGGGAACTGAACCCGGGACTCTCTGGTCCGCAGGCCAACGCTCCAACCGCTGAGCCAAACCGGCCAGGGCTTTTCTGTAAAGTCTTAAAGAGGAGCCCACGCTGCCCTTGAGCACTGTCTCATGCCTCCATACTTCTCGTCGGCCAGTAATCAGGCCTCCTCTCACTAAATCCCTGGCACCTCCTAACTGCAGACCCAGTAGACACTCGAAAAACTTTCGTGTATAGGTCTAACTCACCGGACGCAACGTGTTTGGTCATTTCTCTTCCCCTGGCAATTCTCCACTGCTGTGACTTCTCTGCAAGGACACTTTCTCGATCACCGGTCTCTGACTTCTCCTTCTGTCAGCACTCCCTGAACACTGGTTTCCCCAAGGTGCTCCCTCCCTTCTGCTTTTCCTCTGATTATGCAACAGGCTCTCAACTTGGAGACCAGACACTGTCATGGGCTGGACAGTTCTTTGTCGCATGGGGCTCTCCTGTACATTGTCAGATGTTTAGAAGCAGGCCCTGCAGTTTGTTTTTTTTTAATTTTTTTTTTATCCTAACTCGAGGACATGTTTCCATTTTTTATTCAGATAGAGTGGGAGGAAGAGAGACAAACATCGACGTGAAAGGGACACTTCGAGTGGCCACCACCCACATGACCCAAC